ACAGTTGCTTGGTAAATGATAATACTGACGTTCTGTTGGTAATTATTTGAATACATTTCGTTCTAATTTCAAGCAAAACTCGTATAACCACTGTGCTGACTAGTATTATTATCACGGTCTGAAACATCTTATCACGTGGCCACTCTTCAGGATTTCACTCACAGATCTGTATAACATGACAAACAACGTATTGTTCGTTAGCTTCCATTTTTATGGTCACACTTGAGATTTCGCTTATTAATGATCTCAAAGTTTAATTAGCCAGTTGCATTATCAGCGCCGAGAAGTTCAACCTAGTAAATCAGAATTAACAACACCCGGTAAACTGATGAGTCAAATTCACTTGCAAGATTCTCCACAATTTAATATTTTCATCCACAGACTCGAGGTTATTACCATCCCAAAATTCTAGGTTTATAATTGACCCGGACAATTCACAATTGATAGCATCAACACTTTCTCAGTAACTTTTCATCCTTTTTTAGTATGTATTTCATGCAAAATTTTTAAAGATAGAGGATGCAAAGAATTCAGTTAATGTTGTTTAATTTCTACTTTTTTGACCCCTTAAAATCACGTGTAAGACATTCTCATGTAGTTTAACACGTTTGGGGCAAACGCAGTGGCAAGTTTACTCTGCATACTAAGACTGTGACTGTTCCGTTTGGTATATCAAGCGAATGTAACACAGGCGACAAACAGCGGCGTTGCCAAAGAACGTGATTGTCATTCTGTCCACTCGAGTCCGTTTACAAACGCACACGTTTACTTTTACGTCCAAACCGGGACGATATTTATCCTTTCACAAACTTATGGAAGATCGTTCTACCTCGTCTCTAAGTGCCTATGGAAACATGGAAAAGGTTTTTGGTTAACGCAAAGGACCATGGGAAGGGTCAGTCAAAAAAAAAAAAAGAGTCGTCTCTTCGCTCTTCTTCTAGATGCCTTGCGCGTTTCGAAAATTCGTTCCCAAGATTCCCCTTGATTCACAACGCTCCTGGGTACAACGAGAAAAGAGATCGTTTTAAATTATCTTTATTGACATTGTTAAGGTGTGGAGTTAAGTGGAACGAACTCGCGTGGACATGGCGATGATAAGAGACTTCCTGAGATAAAATACTTCACAATCGTTGTATATTTTGTTAATTGCGCTATGTATAATTCATGAAGCTTGGTTTCTCCCGGTGAGAAATTTGTGAGGAAGTTATGAAAATTTTATTTGTATCGAAACAGACGTTTTTTTAAAGTATTTGAAGCAAAGGCTTCAGTCTCTTTCAGAAGGAAGAGAGGTGAATGATGATTAGTTGTGAAATGCCAAAACAAATAGACAAATAATATATAAATATATTTAGCACCAGAGGGATTCTAACATCCTTTGGACATTTATTAAAGAAATGAGAAAGAATTTGTTAGACATGGTGTTTTGAATCTTTTTGAAAGGGTCTTGATTAGAAACGTCCTATTACTTCACAGGGGTGTAAATTTTTTACGTTAATAGTGAGAAAAGAAAGTGCAAGGTAGTGAAATGTCCCTAATTTTCAAACGCTGGCCATTACAGAGACATTGTTTCCATCATCAATCCTACTATTTGTGATTTGATCACTCTACCACGTATCATAAATTATGCGTTGTTGGGGTAAGCTAAAAAGCTTAAGAGCTCGAAGCGTTGTTGAGGTCAGTGTGTACTAGTCATGCGTGCAATTTTCATAATATGTGGAAGTGAAAGCCAACCAGGCCTACAACTAGTCGAAAAGCTGACTGCGCCCCTGGCGGCCATATACCTCCTTCATAATGGCGGCCTATTGATATATTCTCTATTAAATATAATAATTAGCCTCTGTGACCTCCATTGAAAGAGAAAATTCTTTTGTATTTTCCACATGCTAACGAGGTCGGAAAAGCTAATCATCTTACTATATAAGAATATATTAATAGGCCGGCATTATGTTGGTGTCCTTCCAAACCAGTCCCGTGGGAGTTGAACGTTTTTCTTATGTAAAAAATTTCTCATAATCCACTAAACTTTGCTTATTATTCATTCAAAATATTTCCCCAATTCTGATTGGCTAAAAGCACACGCATAATTCACCATAACCAAATGTGGAAGAATTTTGTGTTTAACGAGGAAACGACGTCAAAAATGCAGCCTTCTACAGGTTAATGCACCGTTAACCGAGAAGGCAAGGGGACGAGATTGAGTTCTTTTCGTTGTAAAAACTAAAATGGCGGACACCTCACTCGTTTCAAGAGTAAGAACTACAGCTGGAACTAGGTGAAATAATGGCTAAAAACATTGCTAAAACAGCAAGAAGACAACTCGGAGGGCGACATCTGCTATTTGGAGAATATTTGCGGAGCTGGACAAAGCTAAACGTGCACTGTCGAAGATAAACTTAACATCGATGCAGGTAAGCTTGTTTTAGCTAAGTTTTTAAACTAGAAATTTTTTTGAATGAATAATAAAACAGTTATTGAATCGGCTTTCGTATCATATGAAGAATTATGGAGATCTCGGAGGGTGTTATCCGCCTCGGCCTACGGCCTCTACGGATAACACCCCCCTCGATCTCCATAATTCTTCATAAGACACTCAGCTTCATAAATTGTTAAATAACTGCTGGTCTCGTGATTGAAAATTCTCTATAGGAAAATGCTCACCTTTTTCCCTTGCATGAATATTTTTTTTGGTTTTTTCCCCACCCCCATCACTTTTCTAATGGTCCGTCCCTTAGCTTTATCAGATAAGATGGGAAAATTATGAGCAGTGTTATGTTAACATCAAAGTTGTTATAGCAACTTAATGACGTCATTACCTATTTTTCTATCAGAGGACAGCTATCTCAATGTTGCCTCAAAGTGTAAGCAAAATCTCGTCTTTTGAAAGTTCAAAGGACTTTTGTGGTCTATAGAGAGGAGAAGTCGTTACGTCACGTTGCCATGGTAGCAAAAATTGTGGATGACAACAAACCGAAAAATCACTTAAAAAGTCTATTCTCACTATTTTAAACTTCACCGATCTTGTTAAATTTTATTTAATTTGTCAAATCTTTGCGAAATTTTCTTTCGGACCGATCTATCGTTATCTAAAAGAAAGCGACAACGTTTTTTAAGTGTTCCTACTCCATAAAGCGGGCTCTTGAAATTAGGGAGTTTCATGTCGTAGTGGTGCAACCACTGCAAAGAAATGTACACAATAGCGTGATGCACGTGCAAAGTTTTTGATTGTTAATATAAACATATTTTTTGCCGTTCTACTTGCCTTCGCCGTCGTCGTTGGTTTTGTTGTCATCTAGAAATAGTGCTACCATGGTAACGTGACGTCACACCTTTTCTCCATTAAGGTCAACATATTTGGGCTACCAGGTCTCGCACGTGCTAGATAGCATAGTTAATTTATTCGAACTCAATTTTTAGGCAAAACGGGTTTTATTTGCACAGAAGACCTAACGGCTACAAAACCATCCGATTTTTATTTTTTAGTAATTAAATGGTGCAGTTGGGAGCCGTTCTTATATCAAATGCGTCGGCAAAATTTGCATGTAAATTAAAATGTTGATTTTTGGCACCCTTGCCTGGCAAATAACCTTCCATGGCATCATAAATGTGGCGCCAAATTTGATGGCGTGCGGCTTTATTCTACGAAGGAAAAAGTTTAACTGCAACAGTGAGGCGTACAAGCGTGTTCTTTCAATTCTAATGTTTAACTTGCGTTCTGTTTGAAGAAGATCGACAACAATCTTTGAAGCTAAAATCCACTTTAACCCTATGTTTAATTAATTAGATCGGGTAGGGAGAGAAAACTAAAGATTGAATTTTATAGTGAACACAAGTAAGCTTTAACGTGTTCTTTGATTTTCGCTTCATTACAAGTCAAACACTCTTTTATGAAGAAACAATTTTGAACTTTGTTTAACTTAGCTTTTAAATGGCCTTTTTATGCTTTGGTGTGAATAGGGAATTCTTACTGACGAGGACGTAATGCTTTACAGCCTTGATGTCGACAAATTATTCACATTAAATTATTTTAT